TTATATTCTCAATGCAGCTAAGTTAAGATTTTTTTACATAAATGAAAACTAACAGAATTTATTATCATCAGATGGTGCTTTACGAGAAATACTAAAGAAGCTTCTTTCACTTGAAGGGTATTGATACCCTTCAGTATCTTTATCTTTCTTTAGAACAAAATTGTTTTTACTTTCACACATATATTCTTTGGGCTCCCTGATAGGTCAGTTGGTAAAGAACCTACCTACAGTTCAGGACACCCCAGTTCGATTCTCGGGTTGAGAAGATCAACTGGAGAAGGGACAGGCTACCCACTCCAGTATTCTTGGCCTTCCCCTGTGGCTCAGCTGATAAAGAATCCACCTGCAATGCAGGAGACCTGGGTTCAATCCCTGGGTTGGGAAGATCCCCTGGAGAAGGGAAAGGCTACCCACCCCGGTATTCTGGCCTGGTGAATTCCATGAATTGTACAGTCCATGGGGTCACAAAGAGTCAGACACAACTGAGTGACTTTCACTTTTACTTTCATATATTCTTTAAAATGATTCTTGACTGAGCAAGAGAAAAGGAAGGAATAGGAGTAAGAAAAATTATGCAATGTTCATGAAGCATTAGGTTGGTACAAAAGTAAATGCAAGGAATGCTAAATCAATATAACTAGGCTTAAACACACCTTTATTTATCAACATAGGAACCATTTACAATCAACATATTTTTGCCAATGAGAAATAAGTTTGTTTATTCCTGTAGGGTAAAAATCCATGCTTCATGAGACAAGTGCTCGGGCCTGGTGCACTGGGAAGACCCAGAGGAATTGGGTGGAGATGGAGGTGGGAGGGGGGATCGGGATGGAAAATACATGTAAATCCATGGCTGGTTCATGTCAATGTATGACAAAAACCACTACAATATTGTAAAGTAATTAGCCTCCAACTAATAAAATAAATGAAAAAAAAAAAAAAAATCCATGCTTCAGGATTCCCCAGACCCTTGGAAAGTATTTTCTGCCTCCTGCTGGTTGTGGAAGCATTTTACATGCAAAAAGTTGTCCAGATGCTTGTAGAAATGGTAGTTGATTGGTGAGAGAGGTCAGATGAATATGGCTGATGGGGGGCAAAACTTTCTAGCTCAATTTCTTCAACTTTAAAGCTTGGTTGTGAGACATGTGGTCAGGCATTGTTATGCAGAAGAATCGGGCCCTCTTTGTTAACCAATGCCTGCTGTAGGCATTGCAGTTTTCAGTGCATATAATCGATTTGCTGAGCATACTTCTCAGATGTAATAGTTTCACTAGGATTCAGAAAGCTGTAGTGGATCAGACCAGCAGCAAACAGTGACCATGACTCTTTTCTTTTTTTTGGTGCAAGTTTAACTTTGGGAAGTGCTTTGGAGCTTCTTATTAGTCTAACCAGGGAATCCCAAGTGGCTCAAATGGTCAAGAATCTGCTTGTAGTGCAGGAGAACTGGGTTCAGTCCCTGGGTAGGGAAGATTCCCTGAGAAGGGAATGACTCCCTACTGCAGTGTTCTTGCCTGGATAATTCTATGGACAGAGGAGCCTGGCAGGTTATAGTCTATGGGACTGCAAAGAGTAGGACTCAAGTGAACAGCTAACACTTTCACTCAGTCCAGTCGCTGAGCTGGTTGTCATAATATAATTAACTTTTCAACTCACATCACAATCCAATCAAGAAATGATCATTGTTATTGCACAGAATAAGAGAAAACAGCATTTCAAAGCAAAGTTTTTTGTTTTTTTTCCCTTTGGATCAACTCATAAGGCACCCTCTAATCAAGTTTTTTCAACTTTCCAATTTGTTTCAAATGTCAAATAACCATAGAATGATCGATGCTGAGTTCTTTGGCAACTTCTCATGTAGTTGTAAGAGGATCAGTCTTGATGATGGTTCCCAAGTTGATCACTGTCAACTTCCAATGACCAGCCACTACACTTCTCATTGTCAAGGCTCTCAACTCCTTCCCAAAACTTCTTGAACCACCACTGCACTGTATGTTCAATAGTAGTTCCTGGGCGAAATGCATTATTGATGTTGCAAGTTGTCTCTACTGCTTTATGAGCCATATTGAACTTAAATTAAAAAAAAAAAGTCTGGAATTTGCTTTTTGTCTGACATCATTTCCATAGTCTAAAATAAATATAAAATTAAAAAAAAAAACAAGAATAAGACATTAGCAAAAATAATAATAATAATAATAAAGTGAGAGATGCACATTAAAATGATGTATAACATAACCACATTTATTTAAGCATGCATTTCAGTGTCAAACAGCAAAGTTCAACAATACAAAACCACAATTACTTTTGCACCAACCTAACAGGGCAATTTTATTAGACAGTAGACTGTTACTAGTTAAAAATTAGTGTGTAATCTCTAAACAGAGTCAGCAAACTTAAGTGCAGAGGCCACATCTGACATGCAGGTAGGCTTTGTATGGACCATGAGCTAAAATTTATTTTCACATTTTCCACTGATTGAATTTTCTTAAAGGAAATTGTGATAGTATATATTGTGGGCAACTGAGATGCTAAATTCCGTTTGACTCTTGTGTGATTCCAAGGACTGTAGCCCACTGGGCTCCTCTGTTCATGGAATTTTCCAGGCAAAAACCTCAAGTAGGTTGCCATTTCCTTCTCCAGGGTGTCTTCCCAACTCAAGGACTGAATCTGTGTCTCCTGCATTGGCAGGTGGATTCTTACCACTGAGTCACCAGGGAAGCCCCAGAGAATGTAATACCTAAACTGCTTTGTAACTGACTCTTTGTAGAGAAAGTTCTGACCCCTAGTTAAAAACAATCACTTAAAAAAAATCACATATGCATGCAATAAAAAAGAGGCAGTTAAAATATAAATGAATGAGATGAAATAAAAGACATTAATAAATAAGTATATAAACCAAAAAGACTAAATGGAGCAAATTGAAAGCAAATATAGTTGAGTAGAAAGGTAGAATAAAACCTGAATATCATTTTTTAACAATAAACATTAGTAAATTTTGGAAACTGGATGTGTGCTTGGTCTCTCAGTTGTGTCTGACTCTGCGACCCCACGGACTGTAGCCTTAGCCTGCCAGCCTCCTCTGTCCATGGGATTCTCCAGGCAAGAATGCTAAAGTTGGTTGCCATTTCCTTGTCCAGGAGATCATCCCAACCCATGGATCAAACTCAGGTCTCCCACATTGCAAGCTGATTTTTTACCATCTAAGCCACCAGGGGCTCAAGAATACTGAGGTGGGAATCCTCTCTCTTCTCCAGGGCATCTTCTCGACCCAGGGATTGAATCATGGTTTCCTGCATTACAGACAGATTCTTTATCAGTTGAGCTACCGGGGAAGCCCCAAGGAGCTGGGGACAAAATGGGCTAATTCTTGAGAAATAGAAACCTTAATGAAGAAAAAAAGAATATATAAAAAAGGCTTGTAGCTAATTTAATCACTGAAATTGGACTAATATGTCACCTTTTCCCAAAATAGGTCAACAAAGATTTTATTCAAGTAAGCTCTGGAACATTTTAAAAGAAAAATTATTTACTTTCTTCCATAAGTTGCTATACATAATTTAGAAGATTTTAAGTTTCCAATTCATTTTACAAGGCTAGTATAATCTTTATTGAAGAGTCAAATAGGGAAAAACAAGAAAAGAAAATAGCAGGTTATTTTCTAATGACTTTAAATAGAAAAATCCTAATGATAATTTTGATTCAGAAAAAAAATACATTTTATGAATTTTAACATCTATATATTATAAATCTGTTTGGCAGAGCTAAAAATTAAAGGGGTTTTCCTTACTTGGTAAAGCTCATACAATAAAATTTTAGCAAGCATCTTACAGGAAGAGTCTAGATATGACTTGTTTAAGAGAGAAAGTAACCCAAATTTTCTCTCCCAACATGACTATGTTTAACACAGCATTGAGGTCTTATATGAACCTGAAAGAAAGGCACAGTGAAAGGAGTAATGGAGGATGGACAGGAAGTGGTCAAAACAAGATTCTTAGCAGATGATTTAATCATCTGCCTAGGAGACAAAGTACTTAAATCAGAAAGACTATTAAGCTAATTCAGCAAATATGCCAGACAAAAGATAGATCCATAAAAGTTTCAACTAATGAATCCTACATCAACAAAAATCACCAAAAAGGTAACTTTTTAAAGTTGTTATTCATAATACTAACAAATCTCTAAATTATGTAAGAATCAAAAAAGAATACACAAGATAATTTTAGAAAAAAAATAAATTTGAATTAAAAGCAGGGAAGATATTCTGAATACATAGAAAGATATTTTATACTCTTGTATTGGATTACTTTAGTAACAAATATATGAACTATCCCCCATTAAATCAGAAATTCAATGCATTTTAATTAAAATTCCATTTAAGTTATTTGAAGAGCTTGCATTAAATTTCATATGAAGAATAAAACTCCACTAAGAGTTAAATGAAAGTAAAAATAAAAAGGGAGGATTTGTTTCACTGCTTATAAAGATTATTTAGAATCATAACTTTTTTTTTTTAAATTTTTTTTTTTTGGCCCGGGCCGGGAAATTAGGAGGAAAAAAATTGTTCGTTGCCGGTTCCCGTTCCTTTCGGGCTTGGATTTTGAATTTTGTTTGGCCCCTTTATTTCCTTGGGCCAATTCAATTTTTTTGGCGTTTTCTTGGACCTTGGTTGGTTTTTTGGGGAAAATTAAACTTGGATTCTTTTCCAAAGGGTTGATTGCTTTAATTTTGAAAAAAAAAATTATATTAAAAAATATAGAAGAAAATGTAAGACAATACTCTGTGACCAAAGGTTGGAGCAGAATTTTCTAAATCAGTTTTTTAAAGTACACTTCACAAGGCAATAACTAGATAGATAGATAGATAGATAGATAGATGCATAAGTATGTATATATACATAATGGATGGATGATAGGTGAATGGATGGATGGATAGACAGGTAGTGTCCTTCATTGCATTCTTGTTGATACATTCATGGCCTAAATAAGATCCTGTGACTCTTTCAGGCTTGTTCTGAGCTCAGTCTCTGACTATTTTGCTGCCATGTTTACAAGTGATGTTTGTGAAGCCAAGCAAGAGGAGATCAAGATGGAAGGCATAGACCCCAATGCCCTGTGGGACCTTGTCCAGTTTGCATATACAGGTACAGTAAAAGGATTATAATTTTATGCTAGTATCTTGTGAATTTTAGAATTTTAATATATGCTTTAAAGCTAAAAAAGATAACTGCTTAGCTTGTATCAGCCTTTTTTTTTTTTTTTCAGTTGAGACACTAACAGAGAAAAATCAGACCACATTTTCCTTTGTCAGCGAAATCACCAATGTAAATTATATATAAATACTCTACTCTCTTCCAAAAATAATTTAAACTGGCTTATAATAATAGTCAATGGAATGAGTTTGGAAGACAAGAAAGAGATTATTAATTATTGAATATGAGTTTGTTTATGTTCAAACAGAGCATTGGGAAGAAAAACTATAATTTTCTTTCTTTTAGGAAATGATGGGTTCAAATAATTATTTTATCCTTGTAACATGTTTATTTCAATATTAAAACCTTCATAGACAATTTAATGTGGAATTGACAAACAGCTTAAAAAGGAAAACTAAGGCACTTAAAATTGTTAAAATGGCTACTTTTTTAAGCATTTTTTTTTCTTTTTTCTGATCTATTATGTTCTTTTGTTGGCCTTTGCACCATATTATATTTAGCACAAACAATTTTGCCAATTTAGCAAATAAATGTTGAATGCTACTCAATGTACAAGTATTAGCTGTGTCTCTGGAGAATAAACTAATGAATAAACCATGTCTTTGCCCTCCAGAAGCTCACAGTCCAAGTGGAGGTAAAAAGTTACACAAGGGATAAATATGATAGAATTCCAGATGTTAAGAGGAAATCAGAGGGCATAAAACCTGCTATTCAGAGCATTATTATGACTCACATTTGTTTAAAACATTCTAATAACTTTCAAGGTTAGTAAGAGAAGGGGACACATTATACTCAAATCTTGTGATAGAAGCAAAGGCAAATAGTATGGATTGGTGTAATATTTTTAGAGGTGACAAGTAGTTCCTTTTGCCCTAACTCTTGATCACAGTGGGAAATGAAGAAAGAAAGAGAAGTTAGAGCCTGATTACCAAATCAGCAAGATCCTAATTTAAGGAGCTGTGTTTTTTGAAGTACTTCTGGTTACAGGGAAATGAGAGATGGCATTGTGAGGATCAGAGCTTCCTGGTGGCTCAGTGGCAAAGAATTCACCAGCAATATGAATTTGATCTCTGGGTCAGGAAAATCCCCAAAGAAGGAAATGGCAACCCACTCCAGTATTACATGGGAAATCCCATGGACAGAAGAGCCTGGCAGGCTACAATCCATGGTGCTGCGAAAGAGTCACACACGATTTAGTCAATAAACCACTACATTGTGAAGATTAGCCACTAGAAGCAGACGCTATGGAACTAGTAGGAATCTGTTCTCTTGGAGAATTTAGCTTCTCACAGAGAGAAGTTTACTACATTAATGTTATACTTGGCAAAATAAACCTCTTTGGAAAGAAAAATACACATGTTCTGGGTACTTGAATCTTAAGGCAGCAATGTGATGGAAAGACTTAAACATTTTCCAGCCTGAGTAACTTTTAAATTACATTTTGTCAAAGCAAATATTGCAGTGGACAAAGTTAATCAGGTAAGCACATCTGTTTTCAAGGCTGTTGCAACAGGGGAGAGAGATCAGAATTCAGTCTTAATTTTGCTGAAACAAAGGGTTAGTGGAGTATTTTTAAGTGCTGGAGTAAAAGAAAACATAGGCCATTGCTTATTGGCTTTACCTAGAGGAAAAATAAACTTTCTCTTCTTTATGATGGAAGGTAGTTTCACAACTTGAAGCAAGGTGCCCACTCAAATTCTACTCTTTCCATTCCACAAAAATAGAGATATACAAGTGCTATTTCCCTTGATGTTGGCTTTTCAAAGAGATGGCTTTCAGGTCCTTGAGAAAAATCTTCCTGTTGTATAATTGGCAAGAAGCCCAGTTTTTTCTTTCTTTTTAATAATTTGCATCTCAAAGAGGTAGAGGAAGATTTATAATTACAAGTTTTCTAAAGCAAATGCTCCAAGAAAAGGGAGATCAAAGGCCTCAAGTCAAGAAGTAACCTATCTAAATTTTAGTGAAGTTGAGGGGACTTCAAGACCATATTGTTTGATTTCAAATTGCAAGCAGCTTGATATAATGATATGAAAGATTGCTGACTTTCCAAACAAGAGATAAATAACATAATCACACTACTGTTTCCTAGAAAGAGAAGAACCAAGAAGCTAGCATTTTAGGAATCTTTCTAGGAACATAAAGACATAGATCCAACACTTACAGGCTCTGTGGCTTCTTGGCAGCCTTGCATTCCTCGAGCAAAAACTAGGTCAAAAGACACTTATCATTGTAAAACAGAAAGTTGGAAGGTGTTTCAAAGCTTCCTGCTAAATGTAATGACCCAGATTTGGCTCTGCTTTGTAGAGGGCAGACCAGATACAAAGCTGCCTTTTGGTTATCTCTGCCACTCTGGCCTTTGCTCATATTAATATATCCATACCTACCTCATGGTTGATAAATTTCCAGTTGCTATAGAAATGTGCTAGATGAGTAAATGATTTGCATCATAATACTGCACAATATTGGGGGTTAGCTATAATAGAAAGTATGTACCTTTTTTTAAAGGTATATATACAATGTAAGAAATTATAACAACAGTAGGAATAAAGTAAGCAATGATACAGAAAAGAAAGACTAAGAGGTATTTCTGTATGTGTCTATTTAGCTAGCCACCTAGCTGATCTCTAAGGCTTTCCTTTGTAGAAGGCTAAAAATAAACACATCTCAGAAAAGGAGAAAGAATGAATAAGCAATGAGATCCTTAAAGGGTCATCTGATTGGTAATATTTTCTTGAATTCTGAAGTTTGGGTAGCCTCAGAGAAACTAAGGAGGTTCAACTGTCACAAAAATTGACAGTTAACTATTAGCTATCTAGTTCTGCATCCAGTAGAGATGGATAAGAGTACTTTAAAATGATTGAAACAGATAAAATTTCCTTGAGGTCTGGAGAGTCTTTTAGGTTTGAAAGAACCGTGTATAGCTATTTTTATAATCTCATTAAAAATTTAAGAGTGAATAGGTAAACTTCCTTGGAAGAGTTAACTGAGATAAGCTTCAATGATTATAGAGTTCAATAATTTTTGACTTGAACAAAGAGGAGGCATTCTTTAAATAATTCATGTGGTAAAATTTGTAAGAAGTAGGAGACATTCTCTCTATTTACCTTTTTTTTTTTTTCCTACTCCATCAAATTATGAGAAGGAATGGGATCAGGAGTGTGGTAGTGTTTCATTAAGAACCAAAGCAAATATTTAGAGATTTTTTTTCCCCCCTAGTGATTGGAAAGAGTAACCTGGATAAATAAATGACTGCTGGATAATAGCTCAAATGAAATCAGAATTTCTTCTAAAGGAAAAATATACAATAATATAAAGGTTAATACTAGCAATATGTAAGATAGACTGAAGAAGCCAATAAAGTCTTTGTGTTGACAACATTAAAGAAAATGCTCGTGAAAATATGAAGGGTAAAGGTATAAAAATAACAACTAATTATTGCAGTGTCAAAACTAGCTACTTAAAATACAAGTCACTATAAGGTCTTTTTATTTTTTTTTACATCTATAATAGTTCAGGAATAAAAAGGAAATGAAATTTATTCCGATGTTAGAAATAATTGTATATCTAACAAGAGAGTTCCTATTGCCTTTCTAAATTCTTGATTAAATTTGATTTCTTCTTTTTAAAACTTTCTATTGAATTTTATTCATCTTTTTTTAAATTAGGAAATATGAGTATGATCTTAGTCATTTTTACACAACAAAAGACTATTTAGTAATTGTGTATGTTATAAATGCCCTTAAAGCAGTGTCTTAAGTTTAAAGTTTGAATATTAAGTGCAGAAAGTGTGTAATTCTACAAGCTAATGATATATAAGTTTTTCAAAATCAAACAATAACTTGGTTAAAATTATTTGAGCACTTGTTGTCTGAAGATGGTCACACTAGGGACTACAAAATGAAACATAATTTGAAACGCTAAAATGACATAAACCTTTAAACAAGTTTGGTAATTCATTGATTTATTGGAGTGAAGCAGCTCTTTACTTTTGTTCTTGAAACTGGTAAGGTCTATGTATCACCATCCACTTACTGGAATTCTCAGTTGTATAGCATTAAATGAACTTAAGAAAAAAATTTTTAAACATGTTCCCTCATGTAATGGAGCTTTTATTCTATAATTGTACTCATCTAGAAAAGAGATCTGGGGTATTATTTGTTTAATCTACAGTAAAGCCTATGATTTGGGATACTGAAGTCAGGGCTGTTCTGAAACTATTGTATAGAATGTCTTCCAAAGGATGGGATCAGAGAAGAAAACATATGTTTACATTTTCTCATTATCCTACTTTCAAATTATTTAGAAACATAGAGATCTATAGAACTTCAGAAATTCTTTCTTGAGTATTATGAATTTCACTAATTAATGTTTTTCTATAGCTAAGAATGTGATACAAAGCAGAGGCATGAAAAACAATTTTTTGGAGGATTACATGTTTGCTATCTTAAGCATTGACAAAATCATCATAACATAGATCAGAAATTTGTTGGTCTCTTTTGAATTAAAATTAAGGGATGCATGCAAGCATGATAAGTCACTTCAGTTGTGTCCAACTCTGCCAACCCATGGACTGTAGCCTGCTAGGCTCCTCTGGCCAAGGAATTTTCCATGCAAAAATACTGGAGTGGGTTGCCATGCCCTCCTCCAGGGGATCTTCCCAATCCAGAGATCAGAACCCAAGTCTCTTATGTCTCTTGCACTAGCAGGAGACTTCTTCACCACTAGCATCACCTGGGAAGCTCAATATTAAGGGACAGCTTTTTTATTTTTTTCCAATTCTTTATAGACTCTAAATTTATTACTGCAACCCAGTTAGTGAGCTAAAGTAACTTAACAAAATCCATAGTCAGCTGTTGAATCTACTGCTAGAGTAAAATGTCAGAGCACAAATTGAATGGTATTATCTCTACTGAACCAATATCCTTTTGTAG